ATTAAAATGTAACTTGTCAATTAATTTTACTATTGTTTTGCCGAACTTAATAAAATTCATATAAATTCGGTTTAACCTAGGTTATTCGAGTCAAATTACAGTCGGGTCAAGTCGAGTTCAGGTTACATAGTTGACTGACCCGAAAATTTGAGTCGGGTTACATGAATATTCGAGTCGAGTTCGAACATCCCCTCAAACCAGACCTAACCTGACCCGTATGGAGCACTAGGTCTGACATCAATTCATTTGGGAATTGGTTTTTTTAATTAATTTGTAATTCTAAAAAAAAAAAAAAAAAAAAATGTAATTTTATTTCTATCGTACAAGTTAAAGTTTAATCCTGAAATAGTTAATGCAAATAATGATTTATTTAGAATTACCATTTTGAAAATGAAGTCAGACGAGCATAAGTAATATGTAAATCATTAAGCAGTATAATTTTATTTTATTTTATTTTTTAAATATTACACTAGTACATAACCTATTGTATCAGATTAGACATTAATGAGAAATACGATAATCTTTTTTTACCTTTACATTATTGTAATTTCCTTATATAGCATAATATTGTTATTATTAAATTATCTGTTTATGTTTATTTGTACTTTATTTGGCGTTGTTTTTGCATGTTATTTTTTTTCATATTTAAAAAATCCTATTTATTCGATGGTTTTTCTCCAAATCTATATTAAATTCATATTTCAGAGATGGATGATATTGCTATTGATATAAATGATTCTGATGATGATTATGATTATGATAAACGTTTAGTAAATATATCGCCAAAAGGGAATTATATTGTTACTTATGATAACAAAAACAAAGCTGTTGTCTGGTGGACGCTTGATAAAGAAATTGAAAAAATTGAAGTTGAAAAAAAGACGCTTTATGAAAAAATTGAAGAATTTGAACATGAAAAAAAGATACTTGATAAATCAATTGAAAAACTAGTAGAAAAAAAAAATAAAGATTTTATTTTTAATAGTAAGGATTTAGCTATAGAAATTGATGATAAAGAAATTAAAGAAATTGAAAATAACAAAAAAAAAAAAGCGTAGTAATGATTTATAAACAAAATAAAGAATCTTTTAAAATCTCTATTAATAAAATTGATAACATATTAAAGTTGTGTGTTTCTGATCAAATGAAGATTGCGTATATTTCAAGTTATCCAAGGCATATCAGTAAGTATTATTATTTTCAAAATACTTTATATCCAGTATCCTTATTTCAAAATTTTCTATATCATTATTAGATATTATTGATATGAGTGACCTATCTAAAGAAACAAAATTGCGTTTGGATTTTAAAATGGATTGAGTAAATCATTGTGAATTTAACGTAAATGGAGATCTTATTTATCTTGTTTGAGTTGGATGTGGATTAATTCCTTATTGAAAACAAAACAAATGAATCTCGTTTGCGTTTATTCAATTCAATCCGAAACTAATAAAAATATTTTTAAATTATCTAACGATGCGAAAGTAATAAATATATCAAAATATGATATAATTTTATTATGTTTCAAAAACAATATATATGAATGGAATGTTCTTACTAGTCATACAACTATTATAATCAAAATTATGCATGAGGTAATTAAAAATATGATTTTTAATTTTATTCATTAGAAATCTAATATTTGTTTCTTAAAAAAAAAATCAAATAGATTAAATCAGAAGATATTGGAATCACTAATAATGAAGAATATACCTGTCTGAAAATATATGATGATATTATTGTTTATTCAAGTAAATTGGGGTGGGGTTTCCTATTACGACATTGAATTTAAATAATGGTATGGTTTTGAATTGATGAAAATTGACAATTTTTGCACACATTAACACTTTGATTTTTTTTCTAGATATACGACTGCATAACTTTATTAAAAAACATCCTGACTTAAGTTGTTTATTACTTGCTTTATTTGATGATGTTTTACGATATTCAATGATTGGAGATTCACCAAATCTTTCTCTATTTTATAAGTTAAATTTGAAATACTTTGCGTTTACAATTGAAAGTAAAAAATGCATTAAAGTTACCAAGGTCAGATTTGTTAAGTTCAATAGTAATTATAATGATACTTTAACTTTTTCTAATGTTGATGGTAATTTAGGAATTTATAAATTAAATGTAAATTCTATCATATGGAAAATTAATTTCGATGAAAAGCTAGAAAAAAAATTTAATCCCAAAAAAACAAGGAAAATGGAAATCAAGGATGAAATTGATTATTTTGTAGAAAATGTTAATAAACAGATAGATGATTTTAAAGAATTTGTTAGCTCTAAACTTAAAGAATCTTGTGAAGTAAAAGAAGCGAAGTCTTTAATGAAAATGTTAAACACAAAAATATCTGAATTAGAATTAAAACTTAATAAATTAACAAAAGTTTATGTTGAGGAGTTATTTAAAATTAAAAGTTTAAATAATATACTTTATCGGTTGAAAGATTTTATTTCAAACAAAAAGTCTGAAATTGGAAACAAAATAATAGATGAAGGTGGAATGAAATCATTATGTTCAGAAATTTTCGGATTAATAATTGACAGATTAAGTGCAGATCTTGATATGCTGAAAAAGGACAAAATTAAATTAGAATTTGAGGAATTTTTAATCAGAGAGATAATTAAACTCGAATATTTTAGAATAGCAAATGATAAATTTAAAATTGAATATCTTGTTAAATTAATGAAAGAAATTACTGGACATATAGGAAATGAAAAAATTATGGAGTGCTTATTTGATGAAAATGGAGAATTTAAAAAAGAGATAGCTAAAAGTATTCATACAAATAAAGATTTAAAAAGGAATATTATTGAACCTTTAGTGCAAAATTTCATTAAAATAATTGAAGAGATAGAAATTAAATATGTATTGTCAGTGAAAGATTATATTGAATTTATTAAAAAGTTATGGATAAGTAAAAGTGCAGGATTTGAGAAAGTTCTTAAACGTGAACTAATTAATAATGGATATGACAAAGATCATTCTCAAAATGTAGTACAATCATATTTTAAAGATAGAAATTTTGCTGAACTTGATGAAGAGCTGACAAAAGATTTTTTTGAACAATTAACTAAATTGAAAGAGTTTGAAAATGATCAAAATCAATGGAAGTCCAAAATTAAAGAATTAATGATTCATTTTGATAAACGATTAATAATGGTTACCGATTTTGTGAATCTTTTTGAACATTATGGAGATATTGAGATTAATATTAATATTTCAAATATTGATAGTGATGGTAACTTGAAAGAATTAATGGAATTATTTTATCCAGCCATTGAATATAAAATACTTTTGAGCAAATTATTAAACGATAATGCTATCATTATTTTAACAAATATTGGCATTTTTATTTTCCATTTAAATAAATTTTTGAAGTTAATATCTTTGAATAATTTTCACCGTATGCACGATCCAAAGAAAATTATTGAAAAAATCAAAGAAAATATCGGGTATCCATGTGATGTTCAAAAAGCTGATCAAAATATTTATGATGAATTCATTTATGGATATGTTTCATATGTTAAAAATAGCAATGAAAACTTTTTAAAATATGGCACAGCATTATTAATATTTGCCATTGAAGCACATGATACAGATTTAATAGACAGCATTTTATTGGTTATCTACCAATGAGAAACCCTATTTTTTGCTTTCTCTTTCATGTCTCTTGTTAGATTTTAAGTTTTTATTATTTTTTAGAGCCTTTCAATCATTTGGAGTCTATTTTGTAATTATTCTTAGTGTCGCGAAGAGAATAGCTTCCTTCTTGTTCGTTATATTTATCATACTTTTAAGTTTTGCCATGCTTTTTTTATTCTTTTAAGACCAAGACAACCTTATAATTTAGAGTATCCACCTTCACCTACTAATAATGATAGCAATAATCCTTGGAAATTAAATAATAGTTACATTCCCATACAAGGAGATGGTACCATTACATCATTTATTTAACAACTTGATACAAACACAAATATGTTTATGGGTTATGATACTGCACTTTTTTCAATGTATTTATTCCTTACAGGTATTATTTAATTAGTATTTTTTTTTAATCTTTTTTAATCTTTTATAATCATTAATTTTATTCAAATTATTATTCTTTCAATAGGAGATTCAAGTGCTTTATCTAACTGGGAATATAAAGAGAATCCATCTCTTACTTTCTTAATGGTTTATTTTCTGTGTTAATTGCTGTATACCTTATGAATTTGTTGATTGGATTACTTAGTAATGCTATTGATAAAGATAACAATAGAACTTCATATTTTACACAAAAAGCAAAGGTATTTAAAAATGTTTAGTAATATAAACAGGTTTACTATGTCTAATAATAAATATTTTATTTATTTATTTTTTTTTTTTTTTTTATAAAATTTATAGATTTTAGCAGAAATTGAGTTATATTACTTATTTCCAAATCAAAGACGTTGGAAAACCTGGTTTCCTGATGTGATGTATGTATTTATCTGTTATTTACTCTAAATTATTTCTCATCTTTGATTTAAATTTTATTTTATTATACTGGTAGATATTATCATGCTGATTTAGATGAGACATGTAGAAAAATTAGGGAACTAATTAAAGAGAATGAATGGGATTCTGAGTATTTTCCAGAAATGAAACAAAATTTGTTAAACAAGCTCAATATTCAGGAAAAGTCCGATAAAGATGTGTTAGATATACTTTTAAAAAGTTTGAAAGGTATATCTGAAGTTCAGAATTCATATAAGCAAATTTTCAATGAAAATAGAAAATCCTGAATGTATAAGATTATAATTTTTCTGTTGAACATTTCTATAAAGATATACAGTCAGAACTCCCTCACCGATTTATTATGAATACTTTGAAAAAAATCGTTTTATCAAGATATATAAATTTGATATAACGAATTTTATTATAGATCAAAAATTTTAAAAAAATATCGTTTAAATAGAGATCGTTATATCAAAAGTTCAATATAACGAGTATTTTTTTTTATATTTTAATATTTATATATAAATATATATTTGTTTCTAAAATAAAAAAATTTTTTTATCAATATTTTTCCGATTTGTTTATCACTACTATATTATATTATTATTTAAAATTTTAAAATACAGTACCTAAGTAATGTAAATAAAATATTTATAAGTGGTACTAGGAATACATTTGCTTATATTACAGAAGGGAATCAATACAATGATGTGCAAAGTATAAGCTAAAAATTTTTTTATAAATGCAATAGATTTTATCATTTAAAAACTTATCTCAAATTAAGGTTAATTCTTCGAACCACAAACCGTAAAAATCCTGATCCGAGCCGAAATTTCGATTATTCGGAAATTCGCTTCGATTATGTCTTTATCGTTCGATTGGGACGAACCAAACCGGAAATTTTCGGATTGATTTTTATTCAATCCGAAACCGAACCGAATTAGAAAATCTTTGGATTAGTCTAAATATGCATTATCAAGAATTAATTTTCTATCTTAATTTACATAAATTTGACCGAATCATTAAAAATTTATATTCTGAATTTGAATTTCAATAGTATTTGACTTGATGAGTAACTTATCGCCTAATTTTACAAATATTATAATGCTTAAATAGGCAACGTATTAATATAGCAAAAACTAAATCCAATCATTTCAATCATGAATAACGCATAAACATAAATTATTTATTACTTAAAAATTTTGAATTAGCATCTATTTTTTATTTTAGAATACAAATCTATAAAATAGTTTACAAACTACGTATCATGTCAAAGACTTATACTGCTTATTTCATTTCGAACAAAGCATTATTTTTTAGAAAGTTTCCTATTTTCCAGCTTGTTAGTAACCTTTCACATTTAATATATTTAAGCATCTTATTTTATTCATTAAAATGTATTGCAAATAAAAAAAAAATAGTTACATAGTCAAATAAATATATTATATCATTAAAAAAAATTGTAATCGATTTTGCATAATATCGAGAAACTGCAAGATCACCTACTAAAAGTGAAACCTTGACAAATGATGGGATGCGCTGTTAACTAATTGAATCAAAACTATGTATGGCATATTAAGCTATTTTATAATTAATTTCACTATTTTTAATAACTCTGGATTCTTCTTAAAGTTGCCATTTCAAATTTTGCAAAAGTATTCAATATAACTGTCTCTTTCAGCTTTTTTTTTTTTTAAAAAAAAAAAAAAAAATATATCCATTAATATATTGTAAATAATAAAATAAACCTTTTAACTAAAAAAAATTATTTTAAGGTATCAAAAATACGTGGTATATTATATTTCTTAAAATTTATCGCAATTCATTAAAGTTTCGCAAGTTATTAAATTCAAAGATTTTCGATATTTCAATGGGAAATGCCTCACATTTACTCTTTGGCGATTTGTCAACTTGGTGGAGATCATGCCCAATCATTTTGTAAACAGTTTCCGTTTTGTAATTCTTAAAAATACTTGGATTAATAATAAACTTACAGAATTGGAATTAAAAATTTGCAAAGGTTTGAAAATGACATTAATTGTGATTTCCCTATCTTTATAATTTCCGTTAAAACACGTCTATTTTATTTATTATTCACCAAAACAAGTTGGACTTTTTAAAAATTAGATTTGAAAACTATAAAGAGAATTTGACGGAAGTCTTGAAAAATGAGGCTCAAAGAAAAGAACAAAAAAATATTCCATTAAGAGTTTGCGTTAATTTATTGAATATGTAAAAAAAACTATACCAATATTCGTTAAATTACAAATAAAACTAGGATTTGATTTTCACTGCGGGTTACTACGTCACCCACCCGTTTTATTTTGTCTATCCTAATGTATTCTTTTTTTTTTACATTGTTTTAACTCTTTTTATTAAATTTTTTCTCTTTTTTTTTTTTTTAGCTTTTGACCGGTTTGGTGCGATCGGTCCGTCGCGGAAAGGTGAGTGCTTTATCTTTTTTTTTTTTTTTTCCTATTTTTAAACGTTTTTACTTATTTTTTTTTTTTCCTATTGTTTTAACGTTTTTTTATTTATTTATTTATTTATCTTTTGTTTTCTAGCCTTTGATCGGGTTCCGTCCGATCGGTCCGTCGCGGTAAAGGTAAGGTTTTTTTTTTTTGCATTGTATCGGATTACTAATCTTTTTTTTTTTTTTTTTCTTTTTTTTATTTAGACGATTTTAGGTTTAGATTCGGATTTCGATTGGATTGTTCGGGCGAAGGTAAGTTGCGAATTTGTATTATTTTTTAACATTGTTTTGGATTACTAATTGTTTTGTCTTTTTAACTAAATCAATCAAATTAAAAAGGCGTTGATCAGTTACGCCGTTATAGATCTTTTTTTTTACAATGTCTATTATACAAACCCGATTTAATTATTTAAAGGCTAGTCTAGAAACATAAAATTTTGTAAAAAAAAATACGGATATTTTTTTTTTTTTGATATATAAAGAACTTCTGTTCCATTAAAACATTACAGTAAAACAGTATACAGAAACAGTATAACGAAATACTGAAATAGTATAACGAACTACTGAAACAGTATAACGAAATACAGAAACAGTATAACGAAATACAGAAACAGTATAACGAACTACTGAAACAGTATAACGAAATACAGTAATAATGTTTTCTTAAAAATGGCATTAAGATTTTTTGAAAATCTTTCCTTTTTTATATATTACAAGGCAATGATCAGCGGCAATATGAATACTATTTTCCTTTTAAGTCAATTTACTTACCTTTTTTATATTGGTCAATCTTATTTTTTATCAACCAAAATGTATATTTCGTTAAATGAAGCTAAACGTAAAATTTGCTGGAATTCACTAGTATTTATTATACTATTTTTTATTTTTATAAATCAAAGTTGTATCAAAATTACAGAAAATTTTTCAATAGTAAAATTATGATAGTTTTGTTGACAACACACCCTAATGATTACGTTTATTTTCGTAATAATTTTTTAACTATTTGAATCATTATTTATCACAACATAAAAATTTAAAATTACATGATCGTCAAAACGTTACTAGAAGTGACCATTTCTTGAAGTCCTCGTAAAATTAAACAATGTTAAATAAGATGTAATATTTAATTAAAGACTTTATCAGATGATGTAAACTATCTTTTACGGTAGAAGTTTGACTTTGGACCTTATTGTTTAGATCTCAAAAAAATTATTTCCATGTTTGACCCTGTTGTTGAAAAAATTTTACGATTGATTCATGCATAACTTGATAGTTCTCTTGAAACATGTTCGCTATGTTTAAAGTTAGAGGTTTAAGTGAATCAAAATATTAACAAAAGAGAATTAAGCAAAAAAGTACGTATCATTTCAATTCCTAGTAATCCTATGAAGCTGTGATGTATTGATTATCTATGAATTCAGATTTAAATATTATTGCTTCAAGAATTCTTAAATATACGTATGGTGTTAAAGTAAGAAAATGCTGGGTAAGTCTCTTTGTTAATTCATCAATTCATAACATAAATTTTAATGAACTCATAAACTCATATTTTACATTTACTTTAGACGAAAGACGATCCAATTCATAATGATGGGCGCATTGATTATTTGGCAAAGCGTAGCACTCCAATGAATGTAATTACTATTTCTTATATGACAGTATATAAATTGAACTTTTATAAAGAAAATGTCACAAGGAAATAATTTATTTATTAATCAATTTATTTATCTTATTAAATTTTTATTTTATCTGTAAAGATTTTATTTACTAATCAACGCCTCTCGTCTAAAATTATATCAATCTTTTTTTTTATGACGTCTTTCACGATATTATTATTTTAACCTAATTATTAATTAATTAATAAATAAAATGATTAATTCCCTCCATTGTATTAGTTCATCCCCTTCTGACTTTAATATATTCCTCAGTTTTAGTTACATATCTTCTACAGATGTAACACCTGCTTTAATCTCAGTATTGTAAACTATATCAGGTTATGCTTTAAATGACCATTTTAGAGTATTATAGGGATGTGATCAGTTATAATGCTGTACATCATCATTATATTTCATTTTCGTTAAATTTGGGATAATGATAATGCAATAGTATTAGAATTGAAAACCTTTCTAAGTAAATGTTTTAGCTAAAAAAAGAAAATAAGAAAAAATATTAGTGATATATACTAAATAAATTTAAAATATGCTAAATTAGATAAAAAAAATAATAAAACTTGGCTGATCACTAAGAATAGTCATATACAGTGATAACAGATCTTTAACGATTTTTTTCATTTATTTTGCTAATTTCTGATGAATAGTATAGGCAATCACTGAGAATTCAGAATAAAGGTCACATTTCGTATTTTGAAAATATAATTTAACAATAAAGAAGACGTTTGATAATAAGTTTTAGTACACTATTTATTATAATAATAATATTTATTTATTTATTTATTTTATATAAAGAAAAGATATAATACTAAAGAGAATTCTAATATATAGTAAAAATTTGAAAACAGATACTTATAAGATCTATAATTTTCGATATTATAGAATAATTAGATTAATAATTTAGAAGAAATTATTAACAATTTAGACTATTATTTAGTAAAATTAAATTTTCTATTTAATTTAATTAAATAACATTACAAAAAATCATTAAAATTAGAATAAGTCTTTGAATCAAAAATGAAAAAAAGTATAAGAAAAAAAGAATAAGAATATTTAACCATCATAAAAAGAAAATTCAAACAATGTAATTTATATATATTATAAATAATGAAGATCTAATAGGGTAAATTGAATATATAAAATTAAATTTAAACATTTACATTTTCTAATTAAAATTTTCTATTATAAGTTCAGAAACTTTTTGCAATATGTTAATTTGATAGGAGAAAGTATTCAAAATAAAAATTAAATGAAAAAGATAATATAATGATTAATTATATAAAAAAATAATTTTAAATTATCTTGTAATAGATTAGAATAGATTATTTTAACTTTATATCATTTAAGATAAATATTTATATTATAATATAGTCATTTATATTATATTTATTTATGCTACGATATATTAATATTTAATATTAAATTTTATACTTTATTTATACTGCAATATTTTAATATTAAATTATAAAATTATTTATATTTAAATAAAATTTGTTTAAATTATTTATAAATATTATAAATATCAAATTTATATTATATGCTTATTATTAAATATTTAATAAATATTTGACATAAAGTGCTGAATAATTATTATATTAGAAAAAATAAAATTTGATTGGTTGATTTAAGACTTCACAGAAGCTTTAAATCACAAATTAAATTTGATTCTCAAAATTATTAGCTATTTTATAAGTATTAGTTATTCAGTTTAAAATACCAGATAATGATTTATCTAGTATTCTGTGATTAAGCAATTTTTTAACAAATAAATTATTTTTTTCCTGTAAACAATTTTTCTCATGAAATTTTTTCTTTTTTTACAAATTTTATGAATAATTTACTTTTGTAAACTAAATTCTGTTAATAAAATTGTAAGTAATTTTATATATTAAAGCTATAAATTATATTAATTTTAATAATTAGCAGATTTTAGACTTATTTTATATTTATAGCTAAAGAACTTTTAAGGATTTAACAAAGTTATATATACAGAGGATGATCATGGATACCCGAACGATTAATTAAACTATTTGAATATACTTATTATATTAATTTTTTTTTTAGAATAAGCAAAAAATTTATTTGTTCTGAACATTTCCTATATATTTTATTAAAAAAAAATAATAACTAATACTTTGTTGAACCACCTTCAGCTGCTATATATGCTTGAATGCGATAAGGTATACTTTCAATCAAATTTTGAATATACTCAAGTGGAATTGAACGCCAAGCATATTTTACTTTACGTTTTAAATCTTCCACATTTTTAGGTTAATTAGACAAGTTACGAAGTTTCTTATCAACTTCATTCCAAAGATTTTCAATAGGATTTAAATCAGGGTTTTGTGCAAGCCAGGGTAGCATAAAAATCTTAGAGGCATTACGAACATCAGCGGCAATCTTTGCTCAATGAGATGAGGCATTATCCTCTTGAAAAATTCTTTATTTGCGAGGAACTAATTTGTAAATTAAAGGAATAGCATGCCTCTGTAATACTTTTGCATATCTTTGTCCTGTTACAGATTTGCGAAGAGGAACAAGAGGTTCCAGCCCATACCACGAAAAGCATCCCCAAAACATTCAACTGGGACTGTGCTTTACTGTAGCAGTTAAACAAAAAAGGTTAAATTCTTCTTCTGGTATACGCCACATACACTCCCCTGAAGAAAATATCTGGGCACTCAAAAAAAAAATTTATTTTTATTAAAATATTTTCATATTTAATAA